GACGAGTCAAGGAAAGACTCGGCGAGTCAAGGACTAACATTCCAACTTGCATGAAGAAGGACTCGACGAGTTCAAGGATGAACTCGGCGGGTCATAGGCAAAAGGTCCCGATTCTGTATGAAGGGAACTCGACGAGTTCTTGAAAGACTCGACGAGTAGGAGCGAAGTCTAGGATGTTAGTGGATTATGGGACTCGACGAGTTGGTGGACCAACTCAGCGAGTTGAGTCAACCAGATGTTGACTTTGACCAAAAGTTGACTTTGACCAGGGTGTTGACCTGGACTTTGACTTGACTAGAGTTGACACTTGAAAGGGTTAAGAGTATGAAATGGTAATTGAGGAAGGTTGTTATGTGTAGGAGTTGAGAGGAGTTGATCCCAACATCGAGGACAGTTCGGACACTTCACGTCATTGAGGTGAGTTACCTTCCAGTAGCGGTGGGTCTACGGCCACAATGCCGACCCACTAGTAGGAGTTGTATGTAGATGATTGTCTTTGTGATAATTATCTAGGTTGCTACTACCTGATATGTTTTATGTGCTAGCATGATATGATGATATGTGATAGTAGCAGTAGGGGGAATAGTCCCCGTGACACGGTCGTAAGGACCTGAGGGTAGGTCGGGCACCCCAGAATCGCCTGACAGGGTAGGTCAAGCACCCCAGAACTGCTTGACATGGGTAGGTCGGGCACCCCAGAAATGTCTGACAACGTAGGTCGGGCACCCCAGAATTGCCCGACAGTATGTATGTTGTATGGTATGTGGTATGATGGGGGAACTCACTAAGCTTCGTGCTTACAATTTTCAGTTTTGTTTCATGTACCTTTTCATCGAAGGGGAAGGAGCCGGCACGGTAGCAGCGCATCGCACACATATGATTTCCGCATTTTGAGATCCATGGGATTGTACTATGACATTATTACTATTTTGATGATATGGTTGAGACATGTGACTATGGTTTATGAATAGAAGTAACTCAATGATGTTTTCTTATAAATTGTTTTATAAATCGTTATGTTAAAAAACAAAATTTTTAGTCATGAAAGTTGGGATGTTACATTGTTGATATAGTCTTTTTGGCCTACTTCATTATGAATTTGATCCTTCTATTTGACACTACTAATTATAGGTCGTTAATACTCTAGGAACGACCACTTCGCCTTAATTTATATTTGTGTTCACTTATTTACCATTATCAAAGGCTTATTTTATATATACCCCTTCCTTCCAAATTGCTTGGTGTACCCACTATGTGTGAGTCGGTAAGTGTGTGTATGTGTTTGATTTTTATACGAGTCATTGATACATATAGTAACACCCTTATCAAACCCTTTCCACCCCTATATACGAATGAACACTATAAGAAAACATGTTTTTATATTTGGGTTAGACTTTTAGAGTCTTTTTAAATAGGCATTAGATTAGAAAACGACTAATGTAAACACGTAAGGGTTTGGTAGAATGTTATTGTAATGTGCCTAACAAATTGGTAGGCATGATCCAAACACCTTGCCATTTAAGAAAAATCACAAGAGTTTTAGAAGCTTACCAAACTATGGGTAAAGCTCAGTCTCGTCTATTTTATGGAAAAAAAATTAAAAGGTAAATCATAATTGTTTAAAGCAATCAAAATAATATTGATAGATCACTTATTGCCCTCTCATTTGAGAATATTTCTTTTTATCTCAAATTGATAAAAATAAATTGAACTTTACCGCAACGAATGGGTCAAAGGTTAAATAAATTGTATTCAAATATTTATAATCTCAAAAAATATTTTATTAAAACAATATATTATAATATTGATCGTATATTATTTAGTCAAGTTTGATTAATTGTTTAAGAATTCAAAAATATGGCCAAAGGATATTGATGAAAAGTCCATTTTAATGTCTAGTTACCCGACAAGATCAAGTCACCTATTTTGTCATTTATGTTATGGTCACAACCTTCCACAAGATCTTTTGCAAATTAAGTTAAGTTTCAATGTTTCACAGAGGACCACCGGTCATGTAGGCAAGTTGGCAAGTACCACGGAAGCTTGAAAGATGCAACCACGGCATCATGTGACATAAAGCCAATTGTCTCCGTATATCTTTTAAGAATATTTCACTTTCATTTGGATATTTTAGACATGCTTTCATTCTATACTTTTTGGATTTTTAGACACGAAATCAAGAATACTTGCTCTTTACTTTGCATCATTGAGCACAAGTACTATTCTCCCACTAGCTTTGATATGTACGCAGGACTCATCCTCATTTCTCGAAAAACCAAACTCTTTGACTTTCTCATCGAAACAAAGATTTCATCTGCGAGATGCTTGTTTCAATCCATAAATGGATTTCTCAAGCTTACACACTCTATTAGGGTGCTCTGCATTGACAAAACCCTCTGACTGACTCATGTAAACATCTTCAGCCAACTTTCCTTTAAGGAAAACGGTTTTGACATCCATCTGCCATATTTCATAGTCATGAAATGCAGCTATGGCTAGCATAACCCTTATATGCTTAATCTTCGCTACTGGTGAGAATGTCTCATCATAGTCAACTTCGCGAAATGGAAGATATGCATTTGATAAAGGTTAAAGAGTTTGATATTTCTTTTATTGAGTTTGATAAGAGGTTGAGTGTGACTATGTTAAATTCATACGGTTTGATATTACAATTAGAAGCTTCAAATTCAATCCTAGACATAACCCCAACATACTCAATTAGACATTGACTCATTCAGATAATTCGGCCATAAACTATCAAACAACCCGTAACATGTTTAATTAAATAAGTTATGTAAGTGTTCAAATTTTCTACATGATCTCCACACATCATTCTGTTTATACATGACATTTAATTTTGTTTTATATCCAATTTAATATCAATATATAATTATTTTAAATTTAATAAATTAAAAGAAAACCATAATCCTTGGATTAAATTTGCGACAACAATAGTCTCACAAGTCACTCTATAAAACTATAATACTTGTTTCTCTCGGAACCCAGCCCCTCATCGAGTCACCACTTACCACTCACTAGTTAGGCACTCATCCCTTTGACCCTCAACCCTTAAATAGTTCGATAGTCTCAAAGTCACCCGATAACCATATGTTATAGTCATTGATTTCTATTAAGTAATATGATGTATCCAAAGTGTTAAGTTTATAATTTCAGTGCAAGTGTATAATCTATATGTATATGATCCTTTAGTATCATTTAATCCAATGTATTGATGATGCAATCTGCATGTATTAATGTTTTAATTTTAGGACTTGGATAACTTTTCAACTAAGATAACATTTCAAGCCGTGCAATCTGAATTTAAATGTTATTCAGAGGAGAATCTTATGTCTCAAGTGAACAATTTGAACAACTTGGACTATTGGAAGAACTCAAGAAATTCGACATCTTAGTTGTCCCAATCTCAATAATGACGATGATGATAGAATTCTTTCAAACTTTCTACAATTGAAGATATTATATGTATGATAGGCGGGTCTTTGGTGAATGTTTGTTTTAACTTTTTATTTATATATTTCAAAATATCACAAATAACCAAGGTTGTAAAAATCGTTCGACGGTAGCTCGGCGGTCGACTGGCGATAAGCGATTAATCGGACTAGGCAGGGATTAATCGGAGATTAATCGGGAACCCTTAATTATTAATAAATTATTTAAAAAATTAATATTCCCTAAAAAACTAAGTATTTGAAAATTTAAAATTTTAAAAACTTAAAATTTTGAAAATTTTAGTTTAATATTTTTAGATTTGAAAGCTTAAAATTTTAAAAATTTAAAATTTTAGTGTAATATTTGAAAAGTAAATTTTTTTGAATTTTTAAAAAAATTCCCGCCCAGACCGTCAAGGACCGCCAAGCCCGACTTTGACCGATTTTGACCAATTTCCGTCAAGCACCCTAATCGTAATCGATTTAAGGCCGCCAAACGATTAATCAGCCGTCAAGGCCGATTTCTGCAACACTGCAAATAACTATGTATTTGCTATAATTAATAAGTTACATTAATTAATCTATTTTAATAGCCTCAACTTGAGGAGCAATGTGGAGCCACCATAACAAAGAATCCGGAAGAAAATACGAAGTGAAAGCGAAGTTGGTAAGAGTGAAAGTCAAGTTGATTGGAACTTACACATTTCCAATATTAATTGAACAATTGATTTGTATATGTACCCGTATTTTTTTTTTCAAACCTTGAACAGTTATTGGAAATTATTGAAAGTTAGTAACTTATGTAGATGTCATCTTTTTCTATTTACCGTTTTGAAACTGGGTCAACCTAGGTTCAACCCGTTTATTTAACAAGTTTGGTTGAAAAAAATAGATGGATTCAACATAATGTCATATTATCAACCCGCTTTGTTTAACAAGTAATTTTGGATTGGAAATCCCAGCCCATGTAATTTAAAAAAAATGATGCAAATCATCCCAAATGGTACAATATCATTACTCTTAATAAATGTGTTTATGCGACATATTTTGGTCTAAAAATAATCTAAAATATAAGCTTCTTCTAGGTATGAAACAAGCATGGGCAGATGAGGAAAATATTGGTAAGCTGAACCCAACCCAACGAATCTTAGAGCATCTGGTATACTCTCAACGAACATGTTGTCAACGTGGCCATGGACTACGACCGTGCACATTATCCTGCCGGCCGGGTGTCATCATCGTGATTTGTGGTGGGGAGAACGTAGGACCACGACCAATCAGGTCTCTCTTCTTCTCTCTCATACCACGACCACAATGAATGTGGAGAGTATATTGGCTATATTGTGAAGGAAGGTGGAAGACCAGGACCCGTCTTAAGAATTTAAATATCCTCAAATGCTCAGGATGAGCCAGAAAAAATGCCCTTATCGCTATTATAAGTTTTATATATATATATATATATATATATATATATATATATATATATATATATAATAAAAAACAATATCACAATAAAAGTCAAATTCTTGACATTTTTACATCAAATTTCTTCTAACATGTGCCATTATTTCCTATCCCTAAAGTAAACCCATCTTGTTCAAACTTAGAGCAAGAAGAAAGGAAAGGCAAATTGACAATATGGGTATTGCTAAAGTTCACATTTTGATAGTTGTCCAAGGAGTAAAAGGTAAAATCAGAGGAAATCCCATTGAAGGATAGAGTAGGATCATGGATATCACTCAAAAGAGCCCCAAAGTAAAGATTGAATTTAGCTCTATTAGCTTGAAGCTCCATCTTTTTCTTCTTCATTCTCTCTTTCTTATGGGCATTTTGATGACCTCCCATAGCTTGTGAATTCATAAACTTCTTAAAACAAAATGGGCATTTGTACTTCTTGGGATTTGAAGGGATTTTTGACCTTTCTTCCTCTTTGGATACATTTATGCTTCTATCTTCATAATTTTTGGCACATGGATCGATTAGAAACCCAAAGAGTTTTAGCTTTCTATCCCCAAGTGATTCCATTATTTGAGATGGGAAATATAGTACACATCCTAGGATTAAGGTTTGGCCTATTTATAGAAAGCATGTTATAAAGGTTTTAAGTAATGGTATTAAGGATATGTAATGCACCACTATAATATAAGCACCCTATGGAATTCTACAAGTGGCATTAATATAAGATTAAAAGATGTCATAAAGTTGTGAGGTTTTTCCCACTTTTTCTGTAAAGATTGGTCAACATTTAGGAAGGATCCAAGTGTATTGATATCTAGAAATAGGCATACCCAAAATACAACAAGGAGATCAATAAAGAGTTGGAATTCAAGATTCCATTCCATGACTTGTTGGATGGAATCCAATTTCGTTGAAATCCTTCAAATTCTACGGTTGGAAGTGATTTAATACCACTCCATTTCTTATTAGTTAAAAAAACAGTTTTTAAATTATTATTTATAATTTACTACATGGGAGGGGGTATTTTGGTCATTTTTTTAAATAAGGGAAGGAACGAAATTGAATACCATCATTCCCCCCTAGGACTTCAATGGATGGAATTTGATAATCCGGATGGAATTGATTTCTGTCCAAAACTGCAAACAAACACATTATGGAACGGAATCTCAAATTCCAATTTTGTCAGATTTTAATTGCCCCCTGGGAGTTTGAAGAGTTTGCATTTAAACTCCAAGTTCATATGACAAAACCTAAATAACTTTTTTTTAGCATTCCAGACACAAGACACACTCTCAAGTTGACACTTTTGGAAGTAATAATTGAACTAAATCTTGCAATACATATAAAGTTATTGGAAGATGATGTTTGTAAATCAACTAACAAAGCCTTTTTCATGGATACAGGGATACATCCACATAAGCCACTAACTATTTAGAAACTACTTAATTCTCAAAACAATATGCTTAAAGCTAAAAAGTGATCAGAACTTTTATTTTGGACCATCTTTCCAACTGGATTATTGGCTATTGGCAAATTAACTTGAACTTTTTGGTCATTATTTACTAATGATCAAGATTTCCCAAATTTGATACATCCTACTTTAATCAACTCTATGTTTTGGTCTTATCCACTAGTGCAGTATACAATTTCTCATCATTAAAGAAAACAATATACACATGACACACACACATGCTTTAACATGCATTATCGTATGTGGAAATGATCTGTGTATTGCATATCCAATTGAGTACATAAATTAGGTACATAAGTGTTGTGAAAATTTACTTTTTTCTTAAGTAGTTAAGTAAAGGACATGAGCTAGTTGTAGTTTCCTTCTTTTGCTGGTTACCTTCTTTCCTTGTGCATGCTTTGCAGGCTTTACCATGTGTGAACAAGAGACAATTTAGGTCAAATTTCAGTTCATTTGGTATTCTTGTATTCAGATGAAGATATGTCCTTTTAGTGTCTGCATCTAAGGGCACCCAACCAATTGCCTTTGCAATCTGAAAGATCTGTATAAATGTCTCAATGTCAACTAGAACCCTAATTACAATATGCTTGTTTGAAATGTTTGAAAGTCAACTTACATGTGTATCTACAGGGAAATCGTCTTGCTGAAGATTAAACATCAATACACATGCCACCTGCCATTAATTTGAAAATTATTAAAACCTATAAATGATTTTGATTACTAGTGATTGAACTAGAAGATACCGTTTTAGGTCCAATCCCTTTGAATTGAGAAAGTTCTGTCTTTATTTCATCAATTGATAAGTCGTGCAGGTATTCCAAGCATAGTTTCCCTCTCTTCTCATGCAAGCAATTCAGCATATTCTTAATACAAGAAGCTTTTGTTGGGGCTAATCCTCCACATCTTATAGCATTCTCAATACACTTTGAATCAGCAGCAAGAACCTGAAGAATTTACGCGATAATCACTTTGAAAGAACACAGGCTCAGAAATTTAGAAATTTGGAGTTCCGGCATTAACCCTATGTTAAAAAATAATGGCAAAATGGACGAAGTTTGATTATCGTGTGACAGAACTAATATGCATAAGTTAGTTAGGGTTTTGAGAGAAACTAACATCCTCCCATGTTGGGAAAGCAGATTTGAGTGAAGAAAAGGCCCTTTGAGAGTTCGCATCAGTAGTATTTTGTGACAATATAATGCTCACTAGCCCGTCCAAAACACTTTCCTTCGAAGAAACCACGGGTTCCGCCTGCGGTGACCTCGTGGATCCATATTCATCCTCGTTGGGAAGAAGCTTCAACCTTTGTTCACGGTATTTGACGAACTGTTGTGGGAACCCATGGAAGGCTAAGAGGTCGTCTCGAACGGATCGGCATTCTTCGGATGAGGGGCGAGGGTGTTTGGGGTAGGGGTCGTTGACGGTGAGATTGTTTACGGTGCCACTTTTGAGTAACTTCGCCGGCGAGCATTTGAGTTCCGTCGGCTTCCTCTTACGCTCTTCCTGTTTCCGCATTGTTGGTTTAGCTAATTGACCGAGGCAACTCGTGTTAGGGGGTGATTAGATAAATTAGTTTTTAGCTTGTTAGCTTATTGCTTATTTGCTTGTTGTGGTGGAAATAAACAGTTTTTCAAAAAAGTGTTTGGATTACCTTATTATGGTGGGAATAAGCAATAAGCATCTCTATATATATTAAAGCAGAAACCTAATTACATCACCTAAAACAATCTGGCTCATTCAATGTTTTTTTTTCATTGATTATTTTAAACCACTAGATCAATTTCGCTGATGTCATCGTGACAAAAGGGAACTACAAATACGTCTTTGTTACCGTCTATAACCATTTTTCCTCCAAAATAGAGATTGTTATCTTCCTCTTTCTCTCTCCGATGAAGATAATATCAAGAGCCGATGATCTCTCCAATTTCTATCCATGTTCTTCCTCCTCAAGAGCCGATGATCTCTCCAATTTCTATCCATGTTCTTCTCCATCAAGGCATCTTCTGCATCGTGTTTGTCACCAACAACTTGAAATTGAGATTCACTACCAAAGATTATTCCCATTGCGTTTTTCTTCTTCTCAAGGTATTTGAATTTTTATGAATCTGCAACTGGTTTTCCATTTTGATTATTCTAACGGGAATTTTGATTTGAATCACTCTTATTTGGGTTTTAGGTTTATATTATGCGTATCCGATTTATGTTTCTGAATTAATTAAGTTTGTTATGTATTAAGTCAAAAAAACACTAATGTGCTATTCAAATTTCAAGACAGCAGTAGTCAGAACACAGCCGATGACATTGTTACCACCTACACATATTATGATTATACTTCTGGATTCATCCATCATTGCAATCTTACTGATTTGGAGGTACTAATTTTGATTTCTACTACCAAACTTTCTTATAATTCGTCAACATTTAGGATCTTTACCCTAATTAAAATAAAATTTTGTTTGGAATCATATTGATTAGTTCTGTTTTGCAGCATGATACAATTATATTTCAACTATTTTTTAAAAGTATATACACATTATATCATCCTACTTTGCAAATCTGCAATAGGATCCGAATATTTGACTTTACCGGTTAGACTTTGGCCAAAAGTTACTTCTTCATCCCTTAATCTTTGGCTTAAACCACTGAGTTTGTTATTCCACAAACAAGATTTTATAACAATAATTTTTTTAATTGTTCGTAACAAACTATGTTGACCAAGTCTATTATTGTCAATTTGTTTTAAGTTTAAACTAGATTATGACCCGCGTAAAATGCGGGGAACATATAAAAATGTATATATAAAGGTATAAAAAAAATAACACTATAAAAAAATTAAAGTAACATAAACAAAGTAACAGAAACAGACTTAGCATTATTGGTAATATTGAAATGTCTGAAAAAAAAACAATGAAACACCTAAATATCTATAATCATTGAAGGATCTCTTTGTAGACATAACTTTTTGTTTTATTAGTTGGATGACCTTTCTCGTCATATATGAGTAACTTCAATCATTTTTCACTTGTGACGCGAGAAACAAAAAACATATAACTGAAAATGAGTGAAGACGGGCATACACAAGTATAATCCAACATTTGATAATTATTGTCATTGAATTTTGTTAATGGCTATAACAAAATAAACAACTACGGGGAATTGCCTCCGCTAAAAACGGAATGAGATTCTTTTATTAGATGGAGTTAACTTCCTGCAAGGTATATAAGTAGTCTCATTGAAGAATCTAGCATATATGATTCAGGCTTCAATGACGTGTCTTCCAATCCTAACAATATGTAATCTAGTACCATTGCATAGTCCTTTGGTTTGCTCGATATTACGAAGTAACATGACTGGAACACCTATTTTTAGTGTAAGTTTATGGTTGGAAATTCTAGATGTCTTAAAACCATTCAACACAACTGAAGAGTAGATTAATTCCTCAAAACAATCTGGTAACTCTATCTCACATAAAGAATTTGAACTCATATATGTTTTCCCTTCATCCTTCATCAATCCTAAAATGTAGTCATTAGTAGCATCGAATTCTTCATTTGTAGGTACCAAAATAGCTTTATCTTGAAAATATGATGGATCATTAAGATGGTTTTCAAATGATGGATAAATGGTGGATACAATTGAATGAATATGGTCACCTGTAGAGCGAACAACAACGTCTTCTGGATATTCAACTTCAGCTTCACCATCATTAGGGCCACCAATATTACCTTCACTAATGTTAAGAATCCACTCATCAAATGCTTTTGTCTCATCCAGATATACATGTAAATTTCAACTTCGAGACCCAAGTTAAAATTGTGCTAGCTTCAATGGCAATTCTCAATTACATTAGAATGAGCGGTAGTGGTGATGCAACATTTCAAATAGCGCAATGATGAAGGACCCGATGAAGGTATTGAGCCACATGACGAAGTATTAAGTAGACAACGTAGAAGTGACGATATGTATATGAGTGCAGTATGCGATATGATTGCGGGACATATATTCTCAAGGTCAAACACTCGTGCACGTAACGACGTATGATTTGTTTTGAAACTCTTTAGTATTTTCATTTTATGGTTTAATGTAGTAGCATGAAACTATTTTGGATAATATTTTGGATAATATGTTGGATAATATGGATTTGGAATGAAATGTGTGGTCTCATATGGTTTTGCATGATAAATGTTTTTTTAATTCTTATGGATAAGAACATTATGGTCTCATGTTTCTTGAATATTTCGATAGGTGTATCCGATCAATTTAAAAATAGGTGTAAAAATAATGTGGTAAATGTTTTTTTAGTTCTTATGAATAAGAAAATTATTATTATTATTTAAAAAACAAAAATATTTTGTTTTAATAAGTAAAATATGTTAACATATAAGAGGAAGCCCTTTTTTGTCATTTTACTCATATAAGCTGTTTTGTTTGCCAAACAATTAAAACTAGATTATAACCCGCGTTAAACACGGAGGAACGCATAAAAACATACAAACGTCTTTGGAATTTATTATTTAAATATTATTTGTTTTTTTTTTATTTCGAAGTATACTTTGTTATTTTAGGGTTATGAACAAAACCTATATAATTTCGATTGTTATTTTAGGGTTATGTCCCGAAATATATAATTTTATTGAGTTCTAAAAACTATAAAAAAAAGTTATTAACAAAAAATAGTAACACGAACAATTTCTATTATTTATAGCAACATACTGTCAAAGTACGTTGTTATTTTTGCTCATTTATGTTATTAACATGTGTATTACATAGATTTTAACCTATAAATGAATCTTAAAATTATATTATGTTCTATAGGGCATAATTATATTAAATGTCCTAACATATATAACATATATCAAATATTAAAATAAAAGTATATATTAATTTAAAATAATTAGTATAACAGTCTAAAAAAACTTATATCTTATTAATTTTAATGAACGCATCTGCAATTGTGAGGTTTGTCTAATGTGATATGGTAATAAATCAAAAGTAAGCAATGTCCATTTGCTGAACATATGGAAATAACAGTTTTGCCAACACCTCTAGCAAATAGAGTTGTTGAAGCATCTATAACAGTCCTCATGATTATACAAAAAATGGAATTAAAGAATATTGGAGAAGATAATAACGAATTAAAGTTGGTTAAAAAATATAGAGATATAATTGGAAAACATGTGTCGTGATTTTATATTAAATAAAAATATATAAAAAAATAGATGAATTAAATCATTTTTAATAAGATTAAATTAAATGATTGTTTCTAAATTGATAAGGGTACATGATTTTGAAAAGATTTAAAGATTATATTTACTTATTAAACGATTTAATCATAAATGTATGCATTCTATATATTGAAACATGATAAATATACATATAATTATTTTGGAAAGTGTTTATGATTGACGGTATAATTGGAATAATAATCTGCATAAATAAGAATATAAGATTCATGAAAGAAATTAAAATTTGTAGAGTATGTGCTCGTGTTGACAATTATACCCTTGGTCATAAGGAAATTACCTTTAAACTTAAAACAAATTGACAATAATAGACTTGGTAAACATAGTTGGTTATTTAAACTTAAAACAAATTGACAATAATAGACTTGGTCAACATAGTTTGTTAGGAACAATAAAAAAAAATATTGTTATAAAATCTTGTTTGTGGAATAAAAAACTCAGTGGCTTAAGCCAAAGATTAAGGAGATTACCTTTAAACTTAAAACAAATTGACAATAATAGACTTGGTCAACATAATTTGTTATTTAAACTTAAAACAAATTGACAATAATAGACTTGGTCAACATAGTTTGTTACGAACAATAAGAAAAAATTATTGTTATAAAATCTTGTTTGTGGAATAACAAACTCAGTGGATTAAGCCAAAGATTAAGGCATGAAGAAGTAACTTTTAGGTCAAATATTGGGATCCTATTGTAGATTTGCAAAGTAGGATGATATAATGTGTATTTACTCTTAAAAGATAGTTGAAATATAATTGTTATTAATGATAATATGGGACAACATTGAAAGTGAAAATATATTATGATCCATGCGGCAGAATATATTGAATACATGTTTATTTAGGAGATTGTAACATAAATGGTCCATATTATTTGTAAACATTGTTGCCTAATACATCGATATATTCCAGCGTGTTGGTTTTATGCACCTTGACAACGATTGTTGTTGTCATAATTGTTGTTTTAATGAAGGAAAAAGTGTAAACCGCACCTTCACCAAAAAAACAGTTTTCAATTCAATAAAGACGGAAATCAAATAGCATTCGGCACAGGAAGTTCGATGACAGAATGTGAATTAAGAAGAGTTAGAATTATTAAATATTTTAACACAAAATAAAGGAAAAAATAAAGCAGTTTGCATACATGATAAACATATTCAAAACACCATTTCATATAGGATTCATAATATAACAACAAAAACAAACATTGCAGAGGATAATGAAACCTGTTATGGATGATGGATGATGGAAGTAGACAGCAGCAAGTGTAAAGAGAGGTTGAAGAAACAATTTTTTTTCGTGA